CAATAGTTATCAAAACAAATTGTAAAAACATTATGTACCATTAGAGATATGATACAGAACAATTTCAATAACAACATCAAACCCAATCCATCATCGACTATCAATAACTTTTGTGTAAGAATCCTTTAGATATCATCCATAAAATAATATGACTATGTTACTAAAAGTGAAGCCTTTCATGAATTTCATCCCTAAAGTATCGAAAACTTGACATGTTAAAATGCAAAGAAATTAAATAATTTTTGTAATTTTGTTGCAACATGGAAGGAAAGTAAGAAAAATAGTGGAAGGAAGTGTTTTGATTTTACAAATGTGTAGAAAGTAGAAATGAGCGCGTGTACACCTGACACAAAAAAAGTTATGGTGTGGAAGATTACCCCACAACTAATAGTAACTATTCTTTTCTTTATTTTCTTTCATTATAATTTTATAATTTATACACACAAAAACACCTCCTGTTGACTACACACGAACTCTCTGTCAGTCTCTACCCAAAATTCCATTTCCAAATAACTTAATTTAACCCAATTTTAGATCGCCCGGAAACCACCACTCGCCGCCACCCACCTCCTTCCTTCCCTTCTTCTCAGCCTAACAAAACCATGCTTGGTAAAAATAATAAACGCAAGATTCGATTTTTCAAGCATACCCCTCCGTAGAAGTTATTATTATTATTATTTTTTTTACCTTTCCCATTTAAATTTGTGTATTTTTTTTCAAAAAGTTGAGGTTTTTGGCTGCAATAATGGCGGCCGTGACCAATACTGCTGCTGCCACCACCACCACCACCACCCAACAACCACAGTCTCCCCCGGCTAACACAGCCATTTCCGCCGCCACCCAACTAGTGCCGGGTGCCATCAACAGAGCTAACCACTGATGAGATGGCGGTGAAAGCCGTTCATAAACGGTATGAAGGGTTGATGATGGTACGGACGAAGGCGATTAAGGGTAAAGGAGCCTGGTATTGGGCTCATCTGGAGCCTGTTTTAGTTCGTAATCCAGATACTGGTATGCCGAAAGCCGTCAAGCTCCGGTGTTCTTTATGTGAAGCTCTTTTCTCCGCTTCCAATCCGTCCAGAACGGCGTCGGAGCATCTCAAAAGAGGAACCTGTCCCAATTTCAACTCTGAATCAAGTCCAAATCCGATTTCCTCTATATCGCCTGCGGGAATGGTAAATTTGTCTTCTCCGACTTCATCGTCTTCGCCACAACCGCTGCAAAACCACCGGAAACGTAACTCATCCGGCAACCGTCGCGCTACTGGGTTTAAAATCAACAACAACTCTGCAAACCCTTCTGAAACTACTTACTCTGTTGCTCCAATTACGATGATTGAACCGGCGAGATTCTCGGTTGATGTTTCTTACCCGACCCGACCCAATTCCATGCCTGCATTTTCTTCTGCTGCGACGGTTGTGACGGTAAGCAGCGGAGGGATGTACTCTCCGCACAACCACCACCATAACCACCACCAACAACAGCCGCAACATGTGATGTTATCAGGTGGTAAAGAAGATTTAGGTGCTTTAGCGATGTTCGAAGATAGTGTAAAGAAGCTTAAAAGTCCGAAATCGTCGCCGGGCCAAACATTAACAAAAGCTCAAATCGAATCATCACTCGAATTATTAGCAAATTGGGTGTATGAGAGTTGTGGGTCAGTTTCTTTTTCAAGTCTGGAGCATCCGAAATTCAAAAATTTCTTGAACCAAATCGGTTTACCGGCGATAACCCGCCGCGAACTCGCCGGAGAGAGACTCGATTCCAAGTACGAAGAGGCCAAAACGGAATCCGAAGCCCGAATTCGCGACGCAATGTTCTTCCAAATCTCATCGGACGGATGGAAATCAAAGAGTAATCATCATTCAGGTGAATTCGAAAATCTGGTGAATTTATCGGTGAATTTACCTAATGGGACTAGCGTTTTCAGAAGAGGTGTTTTCACAGGTGGGTATGTTTTCTCAAAATACGCCGAGGATATTTTATGGGAAACAATCAGCGACATTTGTGGGAACAATTTCCAACAATGTGTGGGTATCGTTTCCGATAAATTCAGGAGTAAAGCTTTAAGAAATCTCGAAAACCAACATCATTGGATGATCAACCTTAGTTGTCAATTTCAAGGGGTTAATAAGTTGATTAAAGATTTCAGCAAAGAACTACCATTGTTTCATAAAGTGACTGATAACTGTTTAAAAGTCGCAAACTTTGTGAATACCAACTCTCAAATCAGACATTCTTTCCTCAAGTACCAGTTACAAGAATACGGCCGAGCAGCATTGTTGCGGGTACCGTTTTGTGGGAGCGGGCGGGTCGACTTCGAACCCGTGTTCAATATGGTTGAAGACATACTAAGTTCAGCAAGAGCGTTACAACTGGTGTTTCTTGATGAATCTTACAAGATGTTGTCAATGGAGGATCAAACCGGGAAGGAGATTGAAGAAATGATGAGGTCTCATTTCTGGAACGAATTAGAAGCGGTTCTTTCGTTGGTCCGGTTAATCAAAAGCATGGCTCAAGAGATTGAGAAAGAAAAACCAAGAATTGGTCAATGTTTGCCACTCTGGGAGGAGCTCCGACTGAAAATCAAGGACTGGTGTGGTAAGTTTCATGTCAACGAGAATCATGCAGACAAGGTGTTCGATAAAAGGTTTAAGAGAAACTACCACCCTGCCTGGGCGACTGCTTTTATCCTTGACCCATTCTATTTGATCCGTGACACAACCGGGAAATACTTGCCACCTTTCAAATGCTTAACATCTGAACAAGAGAAAGATGTAGACAAACTTATAACAAGGCTCGTTTCACGTGAAGAAGCTCACATTGCATTAATGGAGCTTATGAAATGGAGAACCGAAGGACTTGACCCGGTTTATGCCCAAGCAGTCCAATTGAAACAAAGAGACCCGGTAACTGGTAAGATGAAGATAGCTAACCCACAAAGTAGCAGGTTAGTTTGGGAAACTTATCTCACAGATTTCAAATCTTTAAGGAAAGTTGCAGTGAGATTGATCTTTCTTCATGCAACTTCATGTGGATTCAAATGGAATTCATCTTTATGTAAATGGGCTCAATCAAGAACCGGGATCGAAAAAGCACAGAAATTGATCTTCATCGCTGCACATTCAAAGCTCGAGAGACGAGATTTCTCAAATGATGAAGAAAAAGATGCCGAATTTTTCTCGATAGCAAGTCGAGAAGATGATGTGTTGAATGAGGTTTTGTTTGATGCGTCTTCTTTGTGAAAACTTTTTCTTTCTTGCTTTTGATTTGATGATTATAATCCATAGTTTATGTAGGATTGATATTCTTTTTTTTTTTTTTTTTTTGCTTCTACTTGGGGTACTTGTTTAATTGCTCTTTTAGAAGATTTTGACACCTTTGATCGTTATAGAAAGGGGTCATCTTTTAGTTTAAAATGAGTATTTTTCTTTTTTGTTTGATGGGTACATGGAATCAAATATCAAATGATGATTGTTGTATCATTTTTAATCATCTTGGTAACGCTAGACCAAACTTATGGGTTTGAATCATTGTTTTGTATTTTCTTTTACGGAATTCAACTTTTATGACCACAAATTAATCAACAATAAACTTTATTCTGTATTCTGATATTATAAATCAACTAGTGTTTAACCACAAATTAATCAACAACAATACTATAGATGACACATCGTTTTCGTACATAAAAACAAGAGAAAAAATCCAATGGTATTGAATTATTTTTTATTCCGTAGGCTTTGTGGCTATGATGTGAAATAAAATAAAAGTAAATTTTGGATGGTCCTGTATAAGTAAGTAAAGAATTTTCAACATGTGCACCATTTTGCGTAATAATGATTTGTGTTTTTTTTCGAGGACTAAAAGTGAAAGGATGCTAATAGTTGAGGGGGGTTTAAAGGAGAGTATGGGTGGTGGTAGGACATGATTGCGAGGAAAAAAAGGTTTTAGGACTAAAAGCAGAGGACTGTCGGCATGAAGCAGCACACAAAGATGCTCTGATTGCCATTTTACGTTACAACACGAATTCCGACTTTTGTTTTTAATATATTTTATTTACGTCTTGGTTATATAAAGCTAGAAAAAGTATAAAATTTGAATCAAACCGTATCAAACGATCAAATTTAAATTTTATTATAATATATATTACCGTTGATTTCATGAATTTTTTGGAATAAAAAAGTATCCTTTATCATTAAAATCAACATAGAAAAGCATTAGGAACATAAATTTTATATGAGAATTTTGCAAATGAGAGAGACAAAGAAAAAGGATGTGATTAATTTTGAGTGCTAGTTGATTTTATTTTCGAACTTTGATAATTAGAAATGACAATTTGAAGCTTAGTCGTTTGGAATGGAGAGACTTAGAACATCAAAGCTCGATTTAGGATTTAAAAGAAATAAAAAATTCAAAAAAACAATTGTTTGGAATTTGAATTTAAATCATTCAACATAAGTTGATAGCTACATGGAAATAGTCGTATATAGAAAGATCTTATGAAATATAAAGTATTTTGGCATTTAGCATATAGACTATAGAGCACTTAGCTTACCATTACATCAAAACGTCTAAGCATATTTGTGTCCAAGGTAAAATAAAAAAAAGGACTCGCAAATAAACAAAATTCATATAATGATTAAATTTATTTATTTTTCTTTGGAAAGAATTGTTTTTAAGAGGCAAACAACAAAACCTAATTAAAAGTTAAGTATTCAATTATAAAAGCTTAACATCGTAGCTTGTTGTTCGTTGTCATCTCATATATTGTATGATGATAACTAAAATGTAATTATACTTTCTTTTTTTATTATGATTTTGAGTGATTAAAATTATTATTTTTCAATCAATTTATGATTAGGTCTATGTTCAATAGAAAAAGCTTATTGTTATATGTATAAATGGTTTTAAATGAATTTTAAAAAAAAAATACCCTTGAGGAAAAAAAATTAAAATCAATCTCTAAAGATTGACCCAACCTTGGTAAATAAGTGAGAGGAGGACATCTAAACAAACAAGTTGAGAAACTTTTGCTTAACAACATAAAACGACATAATCTATCCTGCCATGATGGAGCGTGACCATGTTAAGGCTCTTGCTGGCTTTGCTAAACACCACCCGTAGCATCTCGCTAGGGTTTATGCCAAGGAAGACATGTTGCTGGCACAACAAGCAGAAAGAGAAGAGAAAGGAAAAGGAATGAAGGTTTAATTAATTGCAATTGGTTGTTTCATCAGTTTTTTTTTTTTTTTTTTTTCAAAATCAGTTAACATACCATCACTTCATGGTAATGTTTATGTGACATTCAAAAGTATTAGGCCGGCTAGAATACCCAAGACGAGCGCCTTCGTGGTTTAGCTGGTCACGAACCACGATCGTGTACACCATTCAGGTGCCTCGTCGTGGCTCGTGGTCATGGTGGGGAGAACAATAGACCACGATCGATGCCTCTCTAAGGCCAACCTTCTTCTGATCATTCTCTCTCCATTCGTGGTCGTCACCGGTACACCGCCGCCAATTCATAGTTCGTGATGGTCCTCGTGGTTCTGTTGTTTGCCCGTCTGTATCTGTGGATTGTCAAATGTTTAATGTGGTATGATAATATATATACAGATACACCACCACTCGCTATAGTCTAATAAATAAAGATTATTTTTCTCAAATGTCAACTTCTCGTTGAGTTTGACACAAATCATTTTTTGGGAATTTAGATTTTTTCCCACTGTCATTTTTTTATTGTTTTGATTTTTATGCAAATATCATCTATTAAATATCATCTCATATTAATTAATTTATTAATATATTAATTAATGTATATTAATATAGACAATAACATTTCATTTGTGAATTCTCATATTTTAGATTTGGAGCAGAAAAAAAATGTTCTTTAAAACACATATGTGAAATATAAAAAAAAATACTGGCGATTTTAAAATCAAAACTTATAAATAAACGAGCTTAATTCCTAAAGTTTAAAAAAAAATATTTTTTTCTTTTTCAGAGTGTAGCTTATAGTTTACACATGACTTTAGATTGTAATTTTTTCATTTTTGAGTTAATATTCATTGACTTACAGTCCCCCAAAGTCGGGATATTAAAGCTGTGAATTTTCTGTTTCAGCTTTATTTTTATATTTTGTGAAAATTTAAAAATGTATATCTAATTTGTTTGAAGTCGGATTATCAAGATGTGTATTTTAGAGTTTCTAAATGATTTTAGACTATAATTTTGTCATTTTCGGCTTTTTATTCATTGACTTACAGTCCTCCAAAGTCGGGATACCAATGCTGTGAATTTTCTATTTTTCGACTTTATTTTTATGTTTTGTGAAATTTTAAAAATACATATCTAATTCGCTTGAAGTCGGATTATCATGAGGTTTTTTTGCAACGTGTAGTTTAGAATTTATACAAGGTTTTAGACTATAATTTTGTCATTTTTGGTTTCATATTCATTGCCTCATAGTCCCCAAAAGTTGGGATATCAATGCTGTGAATTTTCTATTTTTCAGGTTTATTTTTATATTTTGTGAAATTTTAAAAATGCATATCTAATTCGTTTGAAGTCGGATTATCATGAGGTTTTTGCAACATGTAGTTTATTGTTTTACATGATTTAGACTATAAGTTTTCATTTTTGGTGTAATGTCCCAAAATAATAACATAAGATTTTCGTTTAGATTAATAATTCATTGATACATATCATTTCCATAAAACTAAGGTAAACAAGATTCATCAGAACACCATTATATCAGAGCAAACCACATAATACGGAAACATATGGTGTGTGTCCTGAAACCATTCTGAGCTCTTCCATTCGAAAACCGAAGTAAGCACAAAACTTAGTGAGTTCCCCAAGATACCACCTACCACACATACACAAATCACATATTGGGCCCCCGCCCTCATTGAGTCCTACACGGTATCAAGTCCCACTCAGCCTTGGGCCCCGTCCGACATCGATCATCGCTCGGCTTCAGGCCTTGCCCAACATTGAGCCTCGCTCGGCTTCGGGCCTCGCCCGACATCGAGCTGCGCTCGGGTTATAGATCTGTCAATAACCAGTCCCCACCTGATATTGTGCCTCGCCCGGTACATTCACATAATCATATAATCATATAATCATATAAACATATAACCTCACTAGTGAATGAAATTACAAAAAAAACTATAGCATACCATACAGTCATCGAGTCCTGCCCAACATCAGGCCTTGTCCAGTAAGCAAAAAAACATGATACTAATAACTACCATACAATATACCCATCAGGCCCCGCCTGACATCGAACCTTACCCGATAAGCATACCATCATACAACACATGTAAGAGTCACGCAGACATCTAGCATCGGAACATATAAATCATGGGCCAAAATTCATGCCTTAGAACCGATAGACATAGTACGGAGACTCACCTCTCACTACTGAAGTCCCACAGATAAATCTCTGGCTGCTGGCTAACCGATCCCCGAACTATCAAAACCAAAAACAACATTCAATCAACATTTGGGTCCCAATCCATGTCCATAAATCCATTACCAGGATAAATGACCAATTTACCTCTCATTTCTTTTGGACTAATACTTATGCCCAAAACCTAATAATCCACAAGGCCCAAATACCAAAAACCATCCAAAGTTCAATCTGTGGCCCAATTTTCCAAATTGGGCCCAAACCTATTGTAGGTATTCTCAAAATAATTATCAATCCAAACCCTGATGGCCCAACAGGACCCAAGACAACTAAGCCCAAAAGATGGCTCAAACTGAAGCCCAACATGAAAAATCCTCCCTGACTGAGTACGTAGGTCCCTCCCAACCCCAAAACTAGGGTTTTCTTGACACTAGGGTTTTCTAAACCCTAATTAGGGTTTCCAACCCAAATACATGCCACTCGGACTAAACATAGATGATTAGATAATTTGATGATTAATAAATTGGGCACCACCCACTGCTACTCGGGAAGTGGTGGTTGGCGGCAGTCCGTGGCGGTAGGAGGCGGCAACCACCAATTTAAATGTTGGTAGTTAATTTTAAACACAACAATATCAAAAGCATTCCGGTACACTAACATCCATCCAACACCCACACACACCCACACAACCACCCAAGGTGGTAACTAATGGCGGCAGAACGAAGGTAACCACCATAGTTGGCTGCCATGGTGCTTCACTTGCCTACGGCTAACAATTACATTCACACACACACACACACCTCCGACCTGCTGCAGACACACATACACACACAT